TGCTGGTACCACTAAGCATTGCTATCTGGAAACACCTGTCCATCGTTCGAATCCAGTCACACGGTCACATTCCTGAAGCCGATGCATATCAGAGATGCAAACAAATAAAACAAGGTAAGTTCCCGATCTATATAGGGATGACACCTCAAGCTTTATATAATGGTTGCCATACCATCTATCCCTATGATTTGTTGATTGGTTCACTGAGCTCGATCATCAACCGATCAACATGCATATATAAAACATATATATATAGTTTCATAGCATATAATTCCTATGATATTATATATATATACAATATGTTTTTACAACATCATCATATATCATCCTGGTTACTGTATATCATGTCACGCTTCCCATCCTCATTGGTCATCCAATTTCCGGGTTGGTACCCACCCAACTCCAATTTCCGGCCAGCCTCGTTGGTTCCATTCGCATCGAAAGCCCTGCACCGCTGAAACCACTTATGTGAAACCACATTGGGGAGATCCCCAATCTTGAAAAACATGAAAAAAACAGTATAGTATATAATAGTATGTAATAAAAAAACATGTGGTGACTATTATAATCAACCAGTCACACAATCTCGAACATGTTCGAACTACAAGGTCTCACTTTGCACCGGCCCGCCCCTGTACGATCGGCGGTATCTTGTTCTCGTGCGAACATCTGCACACATTTTTTGAAATCGATTCACTATGCTACAGGAAGTGCCACCCCATCTACAAGTTGACTTCTGAACCCATCCAATTAATTGTGGATATATCACACAATCATGTAATGTCCTGTATATATATATTATAATAAATATATATTATAATATATATATTATAATATATATATATATTATAATATATATATATATATTATAATATATATATATAAACAAAAATAAATAATTAATTAGTTAATTAATTAATTAATTAATCACTATATATATATATTTATATCAATACAAACCTGTGGCCCATGTACAACCGGGCCCCTTCTGTACCCACTTCGGGCCTGACCGGTATGAACTTGCTGCCTCGGATTCAAACATTTGGGTGAAAACATCAGATGAAATGAACCACATTTTACCAACATGATGTTTCCATCATGAAATGACCCACGAAGTTTTTTTGGTTTTTTTCGTTGTTCGTCATGTGAAGCCCATCTCTGGTACACAAAAATAGCAAAAATCAAAACACGTTTGGCGAGATTAATTGTACTCGCCAATGCTGATTGTTCATTGCCAGCATTTGCCAGCTGAAGTCATTTTCCATTGCCTCAACCGTTGGTAAATCAACCGATCTTATTTCGCAGGATCAACTCAGTAGATGTATAGATGTTGTACAAGTGGCTTGCCACTGTGTCAACTGATAGCTACTCTTGGATGACCTGCAAAAAAAGAAAGCTCTGGCAAAACACTGAATATGTATCAAATATTATCAAATTGTATATGTCATCAAAGCGGCTCAACCTTTCACCAGTCCATGATTTCTTGGTGATATCAAACGCCAGTCCTGCCGAGCAGCTTCACTAAGGTTTCACCCGTGTCAACCTTGAAAATGAACAACATCCCCGAGCCGCTCACCTTGACAAGGATACCGGGGGTAGTTGATGGCCAGGCGTTTCGGGCTTTAGGGTTTACTCGTCCGGGGTTGTCATTAGGAAGCAAATATTCGTGTTTTTCTAAGGAGAAGCACATCGAAGACTGGGGATTCCAGCAGCTAAAAAAATAACAGTTTCTTGTTTAGTTGTTTTATTAAATCAAAGCATAACATAGCATAACTAGACTATTCTGGGTCGAATTTCCCATTCAAACACTTCATGCCTCGCCTATCCATCCCTTGTTGCCAGAATGGGTCTCTTCAGATGTCGGGAAAACGCTGGAATATGGTCATTGTGTTTTAGAGAAGCCACCAAATGCCATCAGACAATGGATTATTTTTTTCGGGAAAATCTACACCGGAAACCATAGATTCCCCATATTTTTAATGGGGCTTTCCGGCTAAAATTGTCCCAAAAAAACAGATCCATTGAATCAGACATGAGGTTTTTGCAGATCACCGAGTGACGCAGCATACCTTGGTGGCTCCAGGGCCAAAGGCCAAACCATAGAGGAGTTGTTCCTGGCGATGGCGATGACAAAAAAAAGTGTAGTATTATTGATATTAGTTCTATCAATAGTATTAATAATGTCCTTATAGTTCTGGGAATGTTTATTGATGTTATCATTATCATATTATCATGATTAATCATTTTAATAACTATTATCAATATAAATTACACTATATACAGGCTTTGATGTTGTATGATCTATTACCATCATGGTTGTGATGATTGCTATGATTATGATAATTGTGATGCTTGTGATGATTATTACGCTTAATATGATTGTTACTTTGCTGCAATCACAATGATGCTTTACAAGACTTTGAATTCTGGTTTCCCCTGCCCTACCAACAGCAACGGATTATGATCTGTTCAAGGTCCTGATGCCAGTACTGGAAGGCCAAAAGATGTCAATTGCTTCCACCAAAACTAAGGCTCGTAACATTTCGATCTGGTGTTGACAAAACATGACAATGGTCATTCAACACTATTTCCTTCACATGCACACTGTACTGTACAGCAATGTGTGTGTAATGATTAATGTCCAATCAGTTTATTACAGTATCTCACCGAGTAGAGAAAACACAGCTTCTGAGGAAACACACGCACATGCACACATCCTGAAACAGTGAGGTGGCTTCATATCAAACCCAGCCGCTGGAAGTCCTATCCCTGAGTCGTCCCTACTCAAATTTGAGGTCATCCATTCGCAAAATAATCATTTCTAAGTTGATTTCCCCAACATTTACAGACATCGTCATTTTGAGGCACAGTGTATGTTCAATTCAAATTCAAAATCTTCTAGGGTGAGCGTAGGTGAAAAGAAACATCCATGAGTCTTACCTTTCCTTGCTCCCCAGTCGCAGCCTTCCCCGCATACATCTCACGGACGCTCTCGTGCGTGGAGATGCGCCAGAGCTGATAGCGGGACAGGGGTAGCTTTGATGTAACTTTGCTGGGCTATGTGATACCCTTGTGAACATCAAATTGGCTTGTAAATGGATGTTCATGAAGTTCATCCCCTCCGAACAACTGGTAATGTCTTAAACCCAAAGCCATGAACAACTACCATTTGGGGATGATTTTGTTGGCATCCATTTAATGATTTTGGGGATGGTTACCGTATGATTATATAATTATTGGGTGTACCAAATTTTACCAATATGTATATATATATACATCTTAACCCATCCACATATATCATATATGTTCAAATGACGAAGACATCATGGGATCGAACCAATAAGAAGAGCGACAACTTACCCGCGACTGGTGGGATTTAACTTTAACCAATTTGACCAACAAACGTGGAGACGATACTTCGCAATTGCAATTAGTTTGTGATCTGTTTGGTTGTCGGGCCGCCCATCAGAGAATATTGAATCTATCAGCAAATTCGGAGCCGCAGTGATAGCTGGTTGGCTGCCACATGAGAAGGATATGCGTCAAAAGTGCTGGTATCAGTAGACCCACAAAGTTTGTCATCTTGGGTGCAAGACCATTTATTTGGGTCTCTCTGAAAATGGGGTATACCCAATTTGGGATCCAACTTGCCAGTTCTAGGCATAAGGATTCTGAACCAATGGATTTTGGTTTCTGTAATGTCCAGGTACCAAACAATGCTCCCAGTCCCATCATAGTACCTTGACGTAGCCATCATACGAAGCAGTGCCAATGAGGTCTTGGTCCTGGTGCGATGCCAAGATTTTGTTTTGGTGATTCCTTCAATTCATGCCATTGAGAAGAAAATACATTAATCAAAAATAGTTATAGTCATAGTAAAAAAGAGCATTTGATTTATCATGACATATCATGACAATATTTCCACAAAATAGTCATACATATAACATCCTGTCCCACACAATATTGCTGTAGTCAACGTTTATTTGTAATATCATATAATTATATATATTATAATAATAAATAATGTTTATATGATATATAATTATATTTATATAAACAATACTACCATGTATTACTGTTTATATCAACTGTTTTTTTTTTAATAAATAAACAGTATATATTCATAAATAGTCTACAGCAACCTGTCCCACAGCTCATACCAACTGGGTCCAGCTTCGCGAAGATCACTGGAGTAACCATGACTACAACAAAGTGTTTACAACTGATGCGCTCGCTCAAGGAATAATAATCCAGGTTAATCACCATGCCCACTGGTAATTGGCTGAATCCGGAGCTGCTATTAGTACTAGTATAGATGTTGTTAGTTGATGTGGCAAACAGAATCTTACAACAAAAGCATCATGGCAAACTGGCAAACCATGCACTGCGCCATGCCTTTTTCCGGCATTCAAATTCGACCATCACTCAGTGGCATGGTGACCTGCCAAGGTTGAAAACCAGGCCTCCGCGGGATCTCCGTTGGTACCCCGACTTGTGGTTGACGCAACCGGAACAACTCCATCATTTGATCTGTGTTTACCCATAGTCTTAATATTGCCATGATCAATCGTTATCATTTTGGGGTATATGCTTCGGACAAAGTCATCAGTGGTAAACATGTGAAGCCAAAAACAAACCATCCCCGAGTTACACCACGTTTTCCTTTTGAAGAATATCAAAAACATTCCAAAACCACGTCCTCCAAATAGGTTTATTGTTGGCATCATGTAAACAATGTCCATCATGCACGGTGTTCATGCAAGCCGTTGACCTGGTGTTACCTCACTTACAAGTTGGTTAAAACCCCCATCAGCTATGTTTATGTATGTATATATATATATATATATCATAATGTGTATACCATAATAAACGCCCATTAGGAAAAAAACTTAGTTCCATTTATATAGAGGTGATTATTAATACGATACTTCTGGGGCCCTAAATTATAACCATAGTTAATCTATGGGGCACAAACCCAAAACGCTGGCCGCAGGTGATTCTTTTGACGCCGCCAGGTCTCTAGGGTTCAACCTGCGGGCAATCAACGGTACCCTGGGGTAAACGAACAAAAAGATGTGGAAAACCCATGGAGAAACCTCAGGCAAATGACAAAAAAGTGGGGAAACTCCACATCGAAGTGTTATATAAGTCGTCTACAGGAAGCTAATGCAATTAATAGTAGGCTTATATACCTGGTAGTCCCAACTATTCATAGAACTGATGCGTGGGTTCAACAAATACTAGGACTACCTATAACAACTACCAGGACTAGAACCGAGGAATATCCCTACTAATAGGATTCCTTCAGTAGGATTATATAGTTACCAGTTAAGCCAATGAAATGGGACAAATGGGACCTAAGAAAGGACCTGCAGCGGCCCAGCATTAGACAAATACAAGGACTACTATTGACCGAAGCCATGAAACGCAGTGACCAAAACCTGTTTTTGAGACAATGCTCTCGACATATCAATAGAATAGACATGGCAATAGTCTCCAAAAAAATGAGCAATCACAATGTGTTGTGGTCAAAGGGGCCATTAACAAATCATTGGATATCCATCTCAACCGACCTTGGAGAGCGGCCAGCTCTTCTTCTAAAAGGGGCCTTGGCAGCCAGTGTTTGGTGGGATGTCGAGCTGGAAGAGGAAAGCGGAAAGTGCAAGATTCCAGCCACATTTTGGGCATAATAAATCGCCAAAGAATGGCCAGCCTTCGATGGATTTACGCCTACGCTCCGCTCCACTTACATTGACCACCACTTGAGGGGTGAAAATCATCAAATATCATCGACCTCAAATCCCTATCTTAAAAGATAGGAAAGTATAAGACACCCAGGCCGCCAGACTTACAATCTCCAGGTTTCCAACATGGTTGATCAGGATTCCCATATTTTTCACAAGAATTGCCCATTTTCAAACAAGGTTTAGTATACCAAATACCTCCAAAACATATTAATCACTATTAATAAACAACATTTATCCATTACCCTCTGGTAAACGTTTACATAACTATGGAAAATCACCATTTTTAATGGGTAAATCAACTATAATGACAATTTTCAATAGCTTTTTGTATGTTTACCAGAGGGTACATCATCATATTGGAGGTGTCCAAAGTCATGCGGGTACCCCCTTGCCTCATCCAGTCGTCATGGATGACCATGACGACTAGTATTGAAAGAACCATGGTGAATTGGGGCTTCCCCGTTTTTAGAACCTCCAATATTGACAGGGATTCGCCTAATGGATTGCTATATTTCTCTCCACTACACCTCATTTTATCCATTAATTGTCTCACCATATGGGGATTTCCATAAATAGGGGTACCCCATCCATTTTATTTTCAGAAAGTCTCGCCACCAGGGCCCCAGTTTTTCACGTTTGTAGAAATACAGTGAAGTATGAAGGAAGTGAAATGTGAATAGATATAGTAAGTTCAATGCACATTTACATCTCAAGAATGTGAGGAAGGCATAAAGAGTATGCGTCAATATACTGGATCAAATGCCTGTATCTGACACTTTCAGTTGCTCAGGCCAGTGCAAAACAGTGGATAGCGGAGCGACTTCATTGGGTATAGCTGGAAAAAAAACTGACAGAAATATATTCTTCCGTAAGATCGGGACCGAAAACTGAAACAAAATGTACATAATTTTCTGGAAGATTGGGACCGAAAACTGAAAAAACTGAAACAACTGTACTCCTGTAAAGATGTAGAGTCTGTACATTCTGAAAGCAATGCTGCACTCTTTGCAGAGGCCTTTTGCACTTGTTTGTTTTGTTGTTTTTATCTATTATTCATGTTTGTTTTGGTTAAACTTATGTATCTATGTATGACCTGGGATTCCATGATAGATGCAAGAGACAATAGTGAACATGATGAACATGTTCCAAAAACAGCAGAAAACACTGCAAAACATGGGGTTCTCCCATATATAGTGACGGACAATCACTTAGAACGTAATTTTTTTTCCATTTTTTTTTTCGTACTTAGAACGTAGCAAAATTTCATCACTTAGAACGTAGGGAAAATTCATCACTTAGAACGTCAAAATATCACTTAGGCCCATTTATCACTTAGAACGTAAACCAACACTTAGAACGTGCTAAGTGATTGTCCGCCACTATAATTATGAACAATTACCATATGATATGTATATATACTTGTATATATATAAATACATACATTATAAATGTATATAATATAAATACTTCAGTGACCTAGACACGTTCTAAGTGTTAAATCCCCGGTACGTTCTAAGTGATGAATCTTGATATTTGGACGTTCTAAGTGTATGGTTTTCGACGTTCTAAGTGCAAGGCTTAGAACGTAAAAAAAGCAGTAATATTCAGATTTTTTTTTCCAAAATACGTTCTAAGTGATTGTCCGTCACTATAAACCATGCAGCTATTGGGGCTTTCGGGCTTTCCCATGACTGTGGAAACCCTTATGCCATCACCGAGCGACCGCTCGTTGCGAAGCAGCTGCAGCGCGGCGCGCTGCAACTTGGCCTCGGCGACCCGAATCTGAAACCAGCCAGTGTATATACATATTTAATGAAGGTGTACGGTCTACACTGCGAAATGGTGGACACTGTTTTGAGTTTCGATTGACTTTCGGGCACGTATTTCACGGTTAATAGTTTAACAAGTCTCCAAATCATGGATGGATCCAGCATCTGTAGGCTGCACATGTTTAGTCATTGATATATATATATATATACACATGATATACAAAATAGCCATGACCTGAAGGTTCGAGTAGAACTTTGAATCCCAATTTCCAGATCAAAACACAGTTTCTTGGTCAACAGCCTATCAGGGATGTAAACTGATTCTACCCTTTTCAGTATCGGTAATTCCTGGAATCGGCGTTGAACGATACAGCTTATCCTCTAAGGCAAACTCCCTGCTCTAGGACTCTACTTAGATGTCTTAGATTCAGAAACTTTGGGTTGGAGTGTCATATAGATCTGCCATTTTTCTTTTGCGAAACACTGGTGAGGTATCCAGTTGAGAAGAACTTCGCGCCTTGAAATCTGCATGCGGCCCTTGCGGTACTTGCAGCAACTTTTTCTCCTCGGGGGAAATATACTCCCAGCAAGCTGTGACCGATTGTCTTTCCAAATATCTGACAATAAGCTACCCCTATCTGAATTCTTGTGAATCGCACCAAAACCCGAAAAGCGAACCTACCTGGGATTGTAATATGACATATATGCGTATACCATTTTAGTTAATTCTAGTAGATTGCTTTTAAATTAGTGTGCAATATAGGTTTGGTAGATTGATTGTAAATTTAGCAGATTCATTTAACTAGTGTTCGCAGCTCAGCTATGTTTATTGTCATGTCTGCTCGATTCGATGACGACGTCCTGCGGTACACACACACACATCACACCTACACACAAAAATATAATGAAATACGTACATATATCAAACATGTCCAGTACATTCAATGACCTCCCAATGCCAAGTGGATGCAACGGTCCTAAGGACAGGTCTTTTGGTTTGTGTCGCCCAAAACAACAACCAGTGAATCAACATATATATATATAGATATTATAATGTTATATTAAACTATACATTTACATTATATTATATTATGTTATACGATATGATATTAAATATTGACTTAACGTAAATTATGCCAAATCAAATTACATTACATTATATACATTACATTATATTGTACCAGATTTTATTTATCGACATATACGAAAATAATATATATATATATTACGTTAAGCCATATGATGCTAAATAGTATATTTTTTACATAATATTATATATATATATCATATATTAAATGTTAAAAAGTTATATATCATATATTCTAAATCATATAGAACAATATATATATACATAATATTCAATGTTAACTATTATATACTATAACTATACGTCATTTATCAAATCTTATACAATATATTTCATAATACATATTATATATTATAATATATATATATATATCATAGTTTACAGTGTATATATATATATATACAAACATATTATTACATATCACTACGTATTAACAATATATATATATATATGATTGTATGTATATATATATATATACAATGTTTTTTTTTTATTTTATTGTAGTATCGAAACAACATATCTTATTTGAACTTAGACACTATTTGTTATTATATTATTTGGTGTGATATCAACTAATGTTACAGTACATATATTAAACTTAATTATTTTATAACAACGTATATAATGTTTTGCTGTGTTAAATTACAGTATATTGTATCATATTTGATTTTGTTTTATTATACTATAATTCAGGTGTGTTTTTGACACAAAGAAACACAGTAACTAGGCATAAAAAGGAGGAAACCGCAGGCTATAACACAATAATGTAATATTTGTTTAGCATTGTGGTTAAAACATGTTTATTGATGCCAATATGCATTCCACCAGGTCCAACGAACCCAGAAACTGCCAACTGCCCAGAGACTGCTTCTTGATTCGCTTGCAAGGCCACCTCCAACCTGCTGCAACCATGGTTTGATTCGCAAAGAAAGGGCAATCAGAAATATTGGAAAATTCATGGGCAAATCATCTATAACTGGAGGTATCGGAAATCATGGGATATATAACCAACAGCGTGAAACTGATTGGAGGTTTCAGTCAGGAACTGAAAAATATTGGTCAGCTGGGATCTTCATGATCTTCATCCCTAAGAGGGTTGAAACTACAATGTATAACACAAGGTATCCACCAGTTATGGGGGCCGTTCATCGTGGCTTTTCCTACAAGTTGGATGGCTAGGGTTGGGTATGAACAGAGGATTGACATTGAGAGTATGGTAATAGTATGGTATCCCATTTCTGAGATGCAATCAATATCAAACCTCAACATCAACCTAGTCTAGATCAAAGCAAATACCCCGCATAAGCTCACGTAGTCACATAGCAATTGAAAATCACCATCGTCTACAAGGAAATCATTGAAGTAAATAGTCCTTTCCAGTAGCAAACTATTAAATTGCCAGAGAGTACTCTGTACTGTGCACCGGATCCAAGTTGACATTCCTCCTATAGACCTTCCAACCATGGCCTCTCTGCTAACACTTCAGCTTCCCTTCCAGGCCTCATTGGCAACTGACACCAATCAAGAAATGTATGCTCGAAGGGAAATAGATAAATAATAATAATTTTAGATACCTAGACCGAGACCCTTCCAAGCACGTAGAAAACAGGTTACTATGATCTTGGGACATTTACCAATTTTTCATCGGTACTGGAGAGTCTACATATATATATATATATATAACAAATTGCCTCTGAACATATCGGGCTCTAGACTGAAGCTCTTGACAAGTCGAAGCAAGGCTGCTTGTAAGCTACTTCCCGAGGAGTATCCGAGCCTGAACACTTACATGGAACTAGGGTCTGGAAAATGACTTAACAATTGGAAATGCACTGATGAGTTCCGGTGGGGCCAAAAACTGCTGCATTGGGCGGGACTTTTCTTCTCCTCTGCGCGCTATCTTTATGGTCTTCGCTGGAGCCTCATCCTACATGGACGACTTCCTACTTGGATAGAACCTGAACAATCCATGCTGATCCCTTGAGATGACTTGAGATGTAATATATAGATATGTATGTATAGGTTGTATCATCTGTATCAAACTCTTATCGAAACCAAGTACCTGGACTCGTATTGAGAGAACAATCCTTTTCCTTCCTTTTTCATTGCTAAAAAGAAAGAACATGCAGGCCATGAGAAACTCATCTAGAAGCTGAACATTGGAAGGCGGGCGCATCATTGAATTGGGGAAGGAACACATCATTCAAATATCGAATTCCATAGCCATGGAAAACCAAATAACCATAGGCATCAGCTGTCGGTGTGCTTTCATAACTATAGGCTTATTGGGTATTTTTGTTTTATGTATATTCGGGTTTGTCTGAAAATAGGGCAACCAAACACCAAGGGTTGATCAGATCATCATATTTCCCATGATAGCCACATTGAAAGCCCCATGTTCAGACATTGTTGGCTATGTTGCCGAGCTTGATTGCGTCGCCATTGTCACTTCTGCAAATATACACATCTCCATGAAACATGTTTCCGGTAGGTCAACAACCACGCTTCAAATTTCTTCCCTAGAGATCAAGCATCAATTCACAATTCACCCATATATATACATATATATATATTATATACATATATATATATGCAAACATATTGTGTCAATATATACATATATATATACTCTTGTATGCAAACGTATATAACCATTCTTGTTGGCAGCTGAAATCTAATCGTTTATCATCGTTCATCACCAGAGTTCGTGGATATCCAAGGTATTTCCAAATCTCAAGAGCTTTCAGCCGTAGATGCGATCCTATCTCCACACTCAGCTACACTAGCTACATCAGAAGCCACGGCCCAGGTTTCGCCGGGTCATGTCCTCAACAGTGGGATCAACTGACGCATGAAACAATTGGAAAAGTAATGAAAATCCAATGTAACATTTATCAGAGAAACACAAATGGCAATGGAACCCCTCTGTTCTGGTGGAAATAAGAAGGAAATAATCAGTGGGGGATGATTCACTGACCATTGAACTCCCTGTCCCCTCGCGCACCCAAAAAGAAGCAGTAAGAATTCAAAGAGAACTTCGATTGACTCTTCACTTTTGAAAGTTTTCACATATTCATGACATTGCATTCACTTTTTGTCGCGGAACACCAAGGCCACAAGCCCATCAGCCCATCATGGACACTTTAACAAAAAGAACAAACCTCAAGGCATGGATGTGACTAGACACATGTTTGTGAGCAAACTGGTCTGGATCAACGATCCGGAACTTTCCCAATCGATTCCCAGTAAGTGAAGGATAGCATAGCAATTGCTGGACTCCCAGTCTGTGCTGGTGAATCTCTCATTGGTGTGTTGGTGAAGTAAGTATCCACAGTTCTACCAATCTCCCCATCCCCAATGTTTTTTGGTAAAACTCTCAAAGCCACTGTTTCACCGCAGGATCTGAAGGATTTCTGCAAAAGCAATCAAATCAACATAATAACATAAAATCAAACCATTCATGTATCTGGGTACATGTTTTATTCCCATTCATCAGAACTCAACAACACATTGAGTCGTGTTGTGCACCGAGGGAGCAACCATCATAGATTGCCTCTAAAACCCATGATTACCGAAGTATATGCCCCATTACCATGATATACCCATCTAATCATCTAATTGCTGATTATTGTGGCTTCATAAATGCCATTAAATCCCAATGCATACATATACATATACGTCATACATCAATGTATATATATATATACATGTATACGTATGTATATGTATATAATTATATATATATATATGATTATAGACATATATGTGTATGTTGGATCATTCGCCATTTTGGTTGGCAAAATCCCATGACATCCTTAAAAAAAAGGAATCCCATGGGAAAATCCCCATCTGGGACGGTGCCCAAGCACAGAGATGCCACCAAGGCCGTCCTAAGATCGCAGCTGTTTTATGTGAGCCAGCCTTTAACACCTTAAATTTGGAATATAAATGGGATCTGGTTGGTGGTTTGAACCATCTCGAAACATATGAAAGTCAATGGGAAGGATTATCCCATATACCATGGAAAATAAAACATGTGTTAACTGGATACTAGTGGGATAAGAATGGTTTAATCATGGAACAATGACAATAATCCTACTGGGATATGAAAGGGATATGGGCTGATAATAGGAAAATGGACAATAATAGTATGATAATAATGGGAGAACACTAGGGGATATATATATATATATGTATGTATATGGGATAATAATGTGATATTAACGGGACACTAGTGGGATACGAATGGTATAATAATGGGACAGTAATAGGAACATTTGAACATTTCTAATAATGGGATCATACCATATATACCCTATTCAAATATGTATGTATATATATATAAGGTGAAAACCCATTAAATGTGAATGGTACCATAACAAATAATGTGAAAACACAAAACAATGTGAAGTCTACCCTATAATACCATATGGGACTGTCCAGAAATGGGCTGGTCTACAAAGGCAACAATGGTTCAAGTACTCTATATATATATACAGTATCTATATTTATCTATGTGATATATATATATATATTATATAATCCTTTTCCCTTAGTATTGAACACCACCCACGAACCTTGGTCAAAAGTCCACATTAGGACATGCTATTTGGGACTTTTCCCCTTGTTTATGGCTACTTTGAGAGTCTGAGTATATATCTTGTAATGAAACTGCTTTGTCTAAATATTGGGTGTGCATTCAAAAAGGTTACTTTAACAGGAGAAATGATGATCAGTCATCAACATTGGAGATAACCTATTTTCAGACGGATCCACAATTTGTCCACAATGATAAAAACTCAAAACACAATGCAAACAAGCTTCAATCTGGCACTACATGCCGGTAGGATTTGACTGTTCTATCTTTTTGGGGGTTGCTATGCATGTGTATACTATAATAATATATATATATGTATATATATATATATATGTACATATATCTGTGTATATATAAATATATATTATGTATATATATATATTATACATGCAATCATCACAATTTTTGCAGTTCTGCAAGAAATCTCAAACACCGATTGGCGTTAGAAAGTGATTGTGGGAAAAAACTTGATGCCGCTTGGCTGAGGCTGCTTGGCCTTCAGTCGTGTTTCCTTGCATGTAGACTAGAAAGACACCAACGGTGAATAAAATGGTCGTGGTGCCCCCTGGGTACAAAATGCATCAAAATGCTCTATGAACCCCAGTAACAGAAAATGTCGCTGGTCCGATTTGTATAATTATAGCCATGCAAACCAAAGGTTAGAGAGGGAAACTCGTTCGTCTATTACCTGGTTTGGTATGAAATGGTCTGGTTACCTGGTTTCTTTTTTAAAAACTACAGGGTCTAGGAATCGCACTTGATGATTCCTTGATAAATGACAAACAACTAGTTGCGGTTTTAGGTGGACGTTTTATATGCCAAGATTGGCTATACGTACCGTAAGAGTAGCTTGGAGCCTAGTCGGGCATTTCAATAGGTATTAGAGCTGACAGCTCAAGGAAACTGTTTTTGTCAAGCAATATAATGCCCATGCAAGTACTGTCAACCCAGGATTGACAAATACTTGATTCATTCGAAGGTACCCCAAAATAAATCTGCTACTAATGTTGTATCCTTCCAAACAGCCAGAGATTCCTTAATCCAGGGTTGAGATTGTATTAATATGCTGCATCCTTTCAAATTACACGTACAAATAATACCCATGCAAATATGTATGTATATAAAATTATTATATATATACCAATCCACCAAAACATAGAACAGTAAAGTCCTACTTAAAATAGTGATTTTCATGAATGTTGATCTTTTTGGTGGCACCTATACACCTATATATATATATATTTATTTATATATTATACATGTATGATAATCAAGTGGCGCTGGTCGAGTGGCTGGGACCTTTCCAAGTAGCGTCAGGGTGACCGAATAGACCATGACCTCAGTTTTTCTTCGGATCCAATGGATCCAATGGATCCAACCTTGGTGGTTTCAACCTAGCCCTCTGAAAAAATGATGGACGAATCGTCAGTTGGGATGATGACATTCCCAACTGAATGGTTTTTTTGTTTTAAAAAAAAGGTCCAAAGCACCAAGCAGAAACTATTTATAAGTGACGTTTCCTCCATAATTTTGAGATCTCCAACTGTTCTACCTTTGGGGTTGTAGCTATAGACAATGGCCCAATGTTTAGATGGTTCATGATGATTTACCTACCAGAAAATGTGTTTCTTCATATAGTATGTAATAACGATTATCTAGGAATTGTTGCATGTTTAGCTGATGGATGTGAATAACTGTCTTTCAGAATATATTTGCACTGTTCACATATCATAGTCGATCATCAGATTTTTTTCAATGAATCTAGGGTTGGGCTGTCATTCAAAACAATATAAATGCATCCCGAAAAAAGGAAGACCAACAATACCTTCAATGTCATTGCTAGTGGTAAGACCATAAGCTGGACACCTTCTATAGAAGGGTCGGTCTAAGTTCTAGAACCCATGTTTTGGGGATTTCAGACTTTTCAGATTTGTTTTTTTTAACAAGTGAACAAAACAGTCCATCACTGCAAGACCGGGTACAAGATCCACTGCAGAATGACTAGTTGCAAAGGACCCTAGGATTCCAAAAACCTGCGAAGGATACCCTTGCACCAGTAAACCTGGATGCTTGCTCAGTTTGATTTCGGCTATACTATGCCTTCTGAATGGCCTAATACATATAGTTATTATTTTCAAGTTTTTCATGATTCTATGGTTTTCCCAAATTCTAATGTTTGCTAGTCAGAAACAAGTGGCAGGAAGAATAAATATCGTGTCATCAACTTTCATTCCACAATTCATGAAGGAATGACTCAACAAAAAAAAAGCACCTACAGTAGGAACCACAAATTTTGGTGTTGGTTAGTACTTCTTACGAGTGAAACAATCCCATTTTGAGGCACCAACTTTCGACCCAATTCTTCTCCTGTTGATGTAGACACTGGTCCAATCCGTTACCCTCCAGTAGTCATGGCGTTTTTCTAAAAATTCCCAGTTCGATGAAAATTGTCCCATCAAAAGCTGAATCTCAAGCACCCGAGGCCGGTAGGGCCAGTGACACCAAAGAGAATCACGAACAAGGCGACTAGAAGGCTAGTTGGCCTCATGGCACGACCATGGCAATATTGGTTATCTGTCAGATATCGTCGTTTGTAGATGTTGTATATCTTGCACGACTGATGTATTTATACAATACAAGTATACTGTAATCTAATATATATATATACACATATGTATAAATATATACATGTAAATATGTATTACACACATATGGGATTACACATGGGATTACATGGGTATGGGTCAATTTCGGTACCCCAATCATTGGATGGTCTTTGCTTCGGCCCGGCGACAGCCATGATTTGGAGGTGGTGAAATGCGTCCCAGTTAGGAAGTGGTTGAACACGCATGCATACTGTACATATATATATATATATATACCTGGAACCTCAGATGAGCAAAAATAACTGCTCAACCTCAGTTTCGATACAGTATTCCACATATCGAGCGTTATTTGAACATTCGAGCGTTGTGCTAGCTTAAACCCCATATATATACATTACATGATTTCCCATGGTTTCCAATCCCCTTTCTCCCTGATTTTGCGGCCAAAGACGGCCCAAGCATCCAAAAGATGTGGGATGTGCCCACACAGGCTGGGCGGGCTGTGTGTGCAAGTGCACGCATGAAGAGATTCATTTCAATGGTCTCATTCTGCAATTCCACCTGGCACATGTTACTTCTTTTGGTGACTGGTCTGGTTTACAGTCTGGCTCAAATCTAAAAGTTGGCACTGGATAGGACTAGGGTGAAAAAAAATATGGAAAGGGCTAGCCCTGTAGCTGGTCAAGTCTTCAATGAGTGGCAGTCTGATGACATGCTGCTGAGTCGGGCATCCCGTGGTTTCATGGCCAACATCGGGAAAAAGAAATCCCTCAACCGTGCTGAAGTTGCCCACAACAAAAACCTCTTGGCCCCGGTCGTCCGCCATATGGGTTTCTTGCCTTTCAATTCCAATGGGTCCAAAAAAGGGAATTAGTTTCTGTTTTCACCTTAAGGAGTCCTTGCAGCCTTAACCGGTATTTGTGAGGTCTTCGGCCTTCTTTGGCTACCATTATGGAAGCCGTTGAGATGTATCTGCATTTTGCTCGGAGTCGTGGAAAGCCTTTGCCTACTCGTGGGGGCCCTGGCCAAATGGGTTTGCCTAAGTAATTAGGGTGTACTATTCACATTTGTAATGTGGAAAATTTATCTGATATATAAACCAAGGATTTGGGATATGCCATGCTTATAGCGGAACCCCATCAATAAAGGCTCAAAAAAAAGGGATTGGCGGATCTGTTTCCAGATATCCTTTTGCTTAAATATCAACTGCCTCATGATCTCAGGTGAAACGGTGAAGATCGAAGCTTGGATTATCAAGCGCTTGGTTTACATCTTTGCGCGTTTGGCGAAGCGTGGACATCGACCAAGACAGGAATCCCTCAGAGAGCTCATGGAAATTGCAGGACTTCCTGTCCCAGAACGCAGCCCACACCGTAACTAGACACCATATGGGGATTGTGTGATCAGTTTGCCTAGGCCAACATCTCCGGGTCTTCTGGTCTTTATCCCTTTGTTACCTCAAGCCCTTATTATTGATTTGGTTTCTTTCTCAAGGTTACTCAAATATCCACCCTATCTAGCACCCTGCTCCGCTTTGCGGCCTGAGGTTCCTCTGGAAGCGCAAGTGGAAGTGGAGGTGCCAGTGATGCTCCTGATTCCAGGGACATGGAAACAGGCGATGATGAGGAGAATGTGGGTGAAGAGGAAACGGGTGAGGGCGACGCTGAGGAGGAAGAGGAGGAGTGTGATGAAGGTGATGCCGATGAGATTTGTGAAGATTCCCATGGGAATGATGTTGGTATGGATGATGGGGAAGTGGAAGATGGGGAGGATGATGAAGAAGTTACCCCGACAGAGCCGGAGATTTCTGACCCCGAAACCAATGAGGAGCTATGGTTTCTGGTTTTTCTTAATTTTTCTTTTATTTGCATCAAATATTTTTTGGGATGATAATTCATTATGAAGTCATAATGTCTTGTTGTCACAGAACCCTTCCCCAGGAGGTTGTTGGACCAGTTGGTCATGGCAGCGCCCCTATGGAGGGAGGCAGGTCAATCACAGCTCATTGGTTGTACATAGCATCATGACAAGAAAACAAAATAGACCCAAAGTGTCATCAAATATCTTGAGGAACATCTTTGAAATCTTGGAAGAAATGCAGGTTGCCCTTGCCTTTCTTGTGGGTTCCCCCATCCCACCCGCTGATCTAGGGCCTTCGTCCTCAACTCTTCCTGGCTCTGCAGCGCCTGAAGGCCGATAGTCATAGAGTGCATATATCTTCAGGATGGGGATTTATGTGAGTGTGCACATAATATGGGAAACTTCAAGGTTGTTATTTATGTGTGGTTTCATTGTAATGATGCCTTCAGGACTGTGAATAATATGTGATTACATGACATTGCCATCTTCAAGATTGTGAGTATGTGTTTTATAATCCCTCAAACACCATCAGCAATCATTGCAGGTGAGATTGAACGTGGACCTCATCTACGCCCTGGCCACTACACTGTCAAGTCCAAGAAGCATGGATTCGAATGCTTGCGCTGTGGGATGAAAGGGTACATCCGGGATATCATGGAAACAACATGTTCGAACCCACATGGGACCCCCCAGTACTATGATGAGGACACCAAGGATACCAATGTGGAAACAACAGGTTCCTGTTCTGATGAGACACTTTTGAAGGATGAGCTAATGGCCCTACAACTCTTGGAGCAAGAATTTCAACTGTTAGAAGCCATTGAAGCGGAAGAGGCAATCTTAGATGATTTGTCTTTGCAATGCGCAGCACTTGCCGCAGAAGAGGAGACAGACCAAAAGAAACAGGAGATCACAAAACGGATGGTTGATGACCTTGTCATCATGGGGTTCAGCCAGGATATGGCCATTTGGGCAGTGCAGGAGTCCAAGTCGGAATGGGGTAGAGCTGTTGAATTGGCCCAAAAAAGAATCCAAGAGGAAGAGCATGCATTGTTAGAAAAACAGGGGGAGGAAGAACATGCCAAGAAGACTGCCTTGCGCCGGCGAAAGCCAGCAACCCCTTGCAATTCTACTAGCATGCCACCACCTCCGGTTCCTGCCAAAAGAGTGAAGAAGAAATCATCAGTTACAACTGCTGATACTCCTGTTCCGGCACCTGTGTGCAGCTTGATTTGATTTAGCTATATAATCTTTACTAAACTTTACACAGTGGGAAGTAGGAAGTGTGAGGAAATAATTTAGCAAGTGTGTATATTCTCCATGACTTATATATACATCCCATATAGGTCACACAGACCTTGTATTAAAAAAAATATATATATTTCCCAACCAGTGGCCATCCAGGTACTGACCAGACCGACACTCTGCCAACCGACACCCTGGAGATGGACAAGCTCGCCTCGTCCTTTGCTCTCGAGGACAGCCCTGGTGAGCCTGAGGGAGAGGGAGATGAGCGCCTGGACCTCTTGCACAAAAAGACACTCCGTCTTGGTGAAACTGATACAGATGATGATGATGATGATGATGATGATGACCTACCGGAAACACGTGGGTCCCTTGAAACGAAGAAAACCTTGGACTACACAGAAGTGTCAAAGAAGGTTGGGTATTTCAACCTGAATCCATCCATATTTTTTTTTGCAATTATAAATGCTTCTCCTGGAATACAGCAAGTTCAACAAAATCAAAACACCTTTTTAAATACATGTTGGAGCCCATCTATACCTCATGCCCCTGTCAGGTGAATGCTTCAATGGAGGAAAACAATCCTCGTCCAGCGGATGTCCTTGCATCCTGTGGCAAACCCATGGCACCAGCCCAGCAACGAGGCAACTTCACCGTCGACCAGGTTGATGAGGAAGATGAAGACCTGGGTTGCCCCAAGAAGGGTCGAGGAAAGGGTCGGGGAAGGGGCCGGGGAAAGGGCCGAGGTCGTGGGCGTCCCCCCAGAAAAGAGTCCAAACGACCTTGTTCGGATAGTGAAGAGTGTCATGACCCTGAAGCTTCTGGATCTAGTGCCACCCCCGCCAAGAAAAAGAAGCAGTCAGCTGCCACCACTAGCACTGACAGTGAGTCAAAGCTTGCCAAGGGTGAGACAGGCAAACGTTCGAAATCACGTGCTAGCTCCAAGACAAAGACAAAGGGAAAGGATGTTGACAAAACAGCCGGATCAAGTGACAAGCCGCCCAAGTCCAAGTCTGTTCCACCTGAGACAAAGCCTGAGAAGAAAGCACCGAAGCGCAAGTCCAAGTCCCTTGGTGAGGGGGGTGACACAAGTGAGGCAGAACCAGGACCAGACACAGATGCCAAGCCTTCGACCCGCCGCACTGGGAAACCTGCTGCCAAGAGTGCTGGGAAGCCTAAGGCAAAGGCAAAGAGTTCCAAGCCTCGCAAGTCTCCCAAGAAAGGTCGTTCCACAGAGCCAGACCCAAAGGCCCAGAAGAGATCCCGCAAAAGCAGTGCCTACCATGTTGCCCGCAAAAAGGCACTCAAAGAAGGCAAAACTGAAGAGGAAGCCACTGAAATTGGCAAGAAGGCTGGGCTGATTCCCTTCTTGATATCATGACCATTTTGGGAACCGTATGAACTATATCTATAAAATTTCAAGAATCTTCAAAACAAGCACTATGAAGATATTAGTTACACTTTTACCTCACGCCAATGTTTCACCATAAGCCCTGGTCATAGAAACTTGCCAGCTACAAACCAATTGGCAGGCCTACGCCAGTACGGAGTGATCTACTTCTGGGTGCCAAGCCACACTTGGCTTGACAGGGGTATTCCCGGGGTTTCTTGCAAAGCAAGCTTGAACATTTCATTGAAAAATGAAGTGACTTACATATGCCGACATGATCTCAATCCAGCAGTGGGCACAGGCCTATGCTTACTTGTGTTGCTTTTAACACTTCCTGATGCCGCGACACTCCCTGCCAAGAAAAGTTTGAGTGCCAAAGTTTTGGAATCTCTCAAATTTCTAAAAACAGGTTGATCCAGAAACCCTCAAGTTTAGAAGAGAACAATCATACTGAGATATGCTGCATTTCTTTTTACATCACTATTACAAATGTGGGTATGTATAGTCCCCACAAATTTGAGCATTGCTTTCCTCATGGAACCACTCCTATCACCTGCCTTCCTGCTTCTGGGAGGCCAGACACCAGTGATGGCAAAGGAGGCTTGGGCCATGCGCGCCATGATGTGCGGTCTGCCTGGCCAAGTTTGGCAGCGTCTTGAAAGGGGCTGGTCAGGGGTACTGAAGGGACTCAATGGATGGGTTCAATAACAACAAAACTGAAGTGGTGAAGTGGTGGCTCGAAGTGACAATCCCGCAGAATTTTCACACAAACCTGATCGATCCCTGAGTTGCCACCATGCCGTTCAAAAATCCCGTGGCTTCACTCCAACATGTGCAAGCACCCAAGGTCTGGGATGTGAACAAAGGTGGCAAAAGTTATACCTCCCATCTCTTGAGAAACATATGGATTGATAAAGAACCTTATATTTTTTTGAATCCCAAATTTAGGTCCATGTACATGCTGGTTGAAGTGAACTAAATTCCTTGCCTATACAGAATGTTTCACCTGTGTCCCCTGTTAGGTGCTTATCGCCTGTGTCTGGGCCTTTAGCAGCAACATCACTGGATCCCTTGGGGTTCCACACATGACCTGAGGTGTTACTTCTTGGATGGATGGATACCCCACTTCATGGATCTGGCCCGATGCAATTCGACTTTCTTGACCTTTTTTCTGGTCAACAAGCCATGTCACAAGTATGGCCATGCCCTGAGAAATGCACATGGACATTATGTAGTTCAGAGACCCACTGGTTCACCATGACCCTGTTGCCACTAGTTAGGTCGGAAAATGGCTATTCCGTAGCCAGCTATGATCGGAGTCTGCATCCCAAAGAAATGGAATTCAACTCGGCTCCAGGTTTTCTGTTTCTTGGCATTTAGCTATAACTTACAACAATACAGTTAACTCACGATGAACACCAAAACCACCCAGCTGCTGACTGCAAGTGGCCTGTTTCAGGCTGGTCCTTTGGGTCGCGATGTCCATGAACACCAATGGCCTGGCGATGATGGGGCCAGATTGCAGTTCATGGGGACTGCCAGCGAGAGGGTCAAGCATGCGCAGTGTTATCAACATTTGGGGCAACATATTCTCAAAGTGGGTAAGTGGCAGCACTCAAATGGTATCACGGTTCTTCGCTTGCAATCAGTACATGTGTGAAAAACATTGGTTTCAACTGTGTGCTGGTCTATGAGTCTATCTGAAATTGAAAGACAACTGAGGGTAGTTCTCGTGATCTTAGTCCTGATGGCGAACTACTGCATTTGGGTGCTGGAGCAACCTCGCCAATCACTACTTGGAGCCCATAGACGATTCAATTGGCTCATCAACCATGTTTGCTGGGTACTTTGGATAAACCTTTAGATTCCAGTTTATGCAAGCAGTTTCCATGTAATAAGGGCTGGACTTTTGTAAGTAAACCGAGGCCTATTCCACATCGTTCTGGATGCAGTTGCTTGGGCATGGCTGCCCTAAACCAACAATTTGCTGGTCAAATATGCCCCAGATTGCCATGTTAGATTTGGGGAAGCTCACCCGTGAGGAAAAGGTGAAGCGGACTACCCTCCACACAACCCGACCCTAAACTGCACACCTGGGGATGTCTCAAAATCACATAAAATCACAATGTTGCAAAGGATTATATATGGGGCATTGTTCAATTGATATATGATGCATTAACATATCCTTTGGGTTTTCATCAGTATCCCAAATTCAAAAGAGCTCAGGACGCTATGTGGACAGCAAGGGGAAGTCTCGGTTTGTTGGAACCACTGATCTTGGCAAAAGCCAGAGCTTTGGCTTGTTTTCGCATGTCTTACCAACATAGCACCTGAGTCCCGTGTGTCCAATCGTTTCATGCTCAATTTGAAGAATAATTTGGGCCATGTTTTTTTTTTGAAATTGACCCATTTGGGCTGGTTTTCACCTTGGTTGTTCTAGGATCAATTCATCGTAAGCCTTCAGCTTAGCATCAACTGGCTCAGGAGCTACCCGCGGGGCTTTGCCTTTAAGTTGCTGGAGGCATTTGAAGCGCACCTTGGCAATCCCGGCGAGGCGAGGCGAGACTTGAGATTCAAGCCCCAGATAGGACAAAACATGTCTGAGCTGGAGCAGTTCACTCAGCTTCCGTTGGGCGATCCATGGGAAGATGCTGACATGCTTCCTATGTTGGACTATCTCATGACTTCAAAAAATATCAGGACTGAATCAGCATAGGAAGCTTTTCACAATACAGAAATCTCATTTTCTCCCATCACCTTTCCTAGCATGGGGGGCTTCAGCTAGGATTCCCACTGAATGGCATGATGCCATGCACGACTTCTATGATGAGTACCGACGTGTCGCATCTTTGCTGTATAACCTTATGGATTTTGATTTTGTTTTTGAACGCTGATTCAGAATCAATTCAAGAGTTGACCCCCTGATTACAGGTTACCAGAACATTTGTAATTAAGGTCATGGGCGATATGCATTTGCTATCGGAGCTCATGAAGACCCAGTGTGGTGTGGCATCCAGTTCGAGTGCATAGGTTTGTCCTCTACATGAAGGGATGTGCAAAATGTTACCCAAAAAGGGAAATTCGATCCAATTCACCGTGGTTAACTCTTTTTTAGAGTTTTTGGTGGAAATTTGAAATTTTGTGGCAGAAACAGAGGCCGCACAACGAGCGCACTTTGGCGCACATGGGCGCACATACGCGCACACGAGCGCACATTGAAAAAGTGTACTTTTTGGTTTCCCATGTTAGTGACTATTTGTCAGTTTTATGCATCAATGCTAGCTGGCAACTTGAAAACTTGCCCACTTTGCTGTTCGACAAAGGCAGCATGCATTTATCCTCGGCATTTAGTGATTCAAAGCTATCCACGATGATTCAGCGGCTGCATTCAACCAACACTCTAGTGGATGGAATGTCCAAAGTTGGATTTGGCGACAGCTCAGTCTCCCGGAAACGTGAACTGGAACTGAAAATTGCAGAGTCTTGTCGAACTAGGATGTTGTTTCTGGCACATGTGTGTCTGCGCTAGACTTTCTATTGTGCCCCAATCCTGGTGTCCTCTTACTCCTTTGCCTTTTGCCTATCAGGAGTCAAAGGCCCGATTGGACAGGCTTCGCCGGAGGGGAAGTAACCAAGCTGGATTTGAGAAGCCTGGGGAGCTTCCTGTTCCAGGCATTTTGACTGCAAGATATATCTTACTATCAGCATGTCTGTTGGGAAATATCAATCAGCTGAGAAATATTACATGTGCATGTATGCGTACATACTATGCTGGTGAATATGTATTTGGCATGTAGTGCACAGCACGCAACATAAGGAGCACTATGTACGTCTGAGAGCAATGGCAAGTTCTGTGCTGGCAACGCTGAGACAATCCCTGACACTATGGTGGTAGATTCCCAGACCGCGACAGGAGCACCTGAAACACCATGTCGTGAAGCATGGACAGATGCCCAGCCCCGGGAGTCACCTGTCTATTACTCACCGCGTTCACTGCCTGGTGCTTCGGCTGAGGTTGGCACACCACAGGTGAAGCTGCCCGATGCCGAAGGAGCTCCCGAGCAAGCTGTCCTGTGCACGCCCAAGGAAGCTCAGATTCCAGCTCCCAATGAAGAGTCTGATGTGGGAGATTCTGCATCAATTGCCCCAGAACCAGAATCAAAGCGTGACCCAATGTATTGGCGGTTTCTTGACCAACACCAATACCAAAAGTCAACAAGCAGCTGAATCTTTGTACTTTCAAATGGGTGGGGTCCATTTAGATCATTTTGGATTTGAAACTTTACACTGGGCTTGGAAATCTATTTGCATTAGTGCCACAATACTTTTGAGTTCCCCTGATTGAAATCCTTCTCAGCCATTTCCATCTAAGGCTGCGAAGGTATTTTACACCACGTGCTGATGGTGAGCTCAAATGCTCCCCGGAAGCCCTCAAGCTTTGGGGAACAGCTGATGGGTGTAGCTGGTCTATATATGGCCTTTACCCATGAATCAAAAAACAAATGCATACATTGTGTTCTTTGGTACCCTAGGTAAGAAGATCAAGCAAATGCTGGCCGAACATGGGACCTTTACTGCTATGGAGATTCAGTTGAAGAAGATTCACCAGAAGGAGAGGTCGCAAACCGTGGGAGGTGGTTGGTGCTCTGAGACTTTTCTCCGTACGGAGAAGAAGTGGGACAAGCCCAGCCCCCAGTATTTATCCACCATGTATGAACTTGTTAACCTTTAACCTCTTTGTCTGGTTACCAGCCCATACCAACTTTTATCAAACTCAGGCAGATGATAGCCTCTGCCTATGCATGGGCTGAGAAAAACGGACGGAAGAGGGTGAACCCAGTCCATGGAAAGTGGGAGATACAGTTGGTCCTTGACGACACATTTGAGCTGAAGAACAAGGAAGTGGAGGAAACCGAACGGTCAGGAGGTCTCACAGTTGAGGTGCGGTGTCCCCACTATTCATAAATAGAACAAATGTTGTCTCAGCCCACATACACTATTTGCTACAAAATCATATGTGGTTGCTTAGGATGAAGAGGGAACACTCTTTGACTCCGAGATTCCAGATGTTACCCAGCCCATGGCAGCCTTGCCAGCGGCACCAGCTGGAGATGGCAAAGATGTCACCTCAAGTGTGGGAAATGCATCTGCTGTTATGAGCTTCAAGCTGCTTGGATTGGAATTACAACTTGGTGGGTCCTCCAGTCTTGAGATGTTCCAAACACCAACTTATTGTTGAAGACCCCCAGATCCCGGAACTATAATTTGATTGGGTCATTGTAACTACAAAAGGTCCTTAATTATTTCTTGTTAAACCAACTTATGGGACACCACCTTGTTTGGGAAGATCTTGCATTCCTGGTCTTTTGTCATGATGATCTCTAAGGCTTACGTTCCCGACTGTGACTGCAACAACCACTCCGTTGCAAGTCTTGCCACAGTTTGTTCAAGTGCTCGGACAAAAGATTGACAAAGTCCAAGCTGAAATGGACCGTTTTGCAGATGTTGCTCGATGTGTTCACTAGGCTAGCTTATAGTTTTATCATGTGTCCTTACATGTCCTCACCAATGACCATCCCAACAGTGCAGGATCGGCTTCATGCTGTGGGTTCTACAGCTTCGAAAGGGTTTCTAGGATTAACATATGTGAGTTTGGTCATTCTTCATCACTGCCCCCAGCAAACCAGGGCCAAGATTGCCACCTGAACTTGAGGCTGCACACCCAGGTGAAGAATGTCCTGGGCCAGATGGAGCAATGCTATGACAAACTGGCAGGGAATCTGTCCCAGGCTACTGTTGCCCCGGATTCAATTGATGAGATCCTTGCCATTTTCTAGGCACAAATTTAGAGATTGCATTGCAGTGTCCACACCAATTCATACTTATGATTTTGTTGACCTGTTGCCATTTAAGGAAAACGCGACAATCCATTCAATCGGAGTTTGTGACATGCACCAAGTTGGATGTGTCCATGAGTGCTTTGATGCAACGTTCCAAGTCACCTAGTCAGCAAAAAAAAGATTTCTTTCAAGTATGGTTGCAGCAATGATGTTAAGCTGTAGGACTTGGCCTGACCATGTTGTTATCCCCCAAGTGCTCCTTCTCCTCGCTTAGGTCCATCAAGCCCAGCAGTGCACCCTCGGCCGTTGGCAGTGAGAGGCCAAAGGCCAAAAGCAAAGCGAAGGCAAAAGCAAAGGCTGACTCAAAGTCCAAGAAATGAGGGCACCAAGTTCAGTATCTATGGACTGGAACTTACTGACTTTTGAGCGAAGTTTGTGTTACATCAACACAACCGCATAGATGGCCAAACCATGGGTTGCTTAGAGAGCCACTGCCATGTACTTCTGTGGTCTTCTGTGTGATCTATATGTATCATTGCAACCCCAAAGACTGAAAACATGGTTCTGCTTGTTTGCTTGGCGGCTCATGCAACCACGAGACCAGGTAGAAGCTATCGGCTTGGGGAAAAAACAATTGCTCCCAACTACCTAGCAATGTCAATTTTGAGTTCCAGTGTTGATCTCTTCGAAGAGAAGCTGGGGAAATACTGAAGGGTTCGTAAAACACATGCCTCCCAGAGATAGTTCACACAGGGGTCCGGGCTGAAATCTGCACATGCCAGGTCATCGCGAAGATGACCTTGTCAGGGGTGACTTGTTGGCATTTGTTGGGTATATCTGTGGCCTACTTAGATCCCCCTAACACTAAAAGCTGAAAACAAAACTGAAACACAACCAAAGACAACAGACAATGATCACATAGATGTGTTGATAGGTCTTGATCATCTATATTTTTTTGGATGAAACTGCTGCAAACCTAGGCGATGCTTCTTCAGACATGGAAGATGATGACCTACGAGACTCCTGGGTTGAGAACTTCGCGAAGGGTGCTGCTGGGATCCCATTTTTTTCTGTGTGATATTGTTACTGAGGGATAATGCCCTGATAAGTTGACAAATCTTATCACTAACCCCCAAATACAATTATGATCATAATTAAGTATTTGAATCCCCCCAAGTCTGTTGGGTATTTAATATATAGTAGACATTTTCTGTGTGTGTTATGTACCGACCCCAAACTTTGAATTTGTATGACCTATTCATGGGAAAAGTAAGGCAACAGCAAAAGATGTCATGACGGGTGCCATCAAGACTCAAAAGCTGCTTGAAAAATATGGTCCCTGGGATGATTAATTGATGCTTGGTTTGGGATTTTTTTGTTTTGCGCAATGCTAGAAACACACATGTTTACGGGTAAAAACCAAACAGTCAGATTCAAACAAAATATGTTTGGGATGGATGGCAATTGTTCCCATATTTTCCAAACATTTTCAAGGGTGTAAGTGTAAGCCTTAGGTAGATTTTCACTCAGCCCGCATATGCAAAAGGTGTTCAAAAGCCAATCATATTTTGGGGCTTCATGTGGACCCTAGGTATCTACAATGAAAAAATTGCGGACTTTGCCAAGTGGTCAGTGAATGACAAGAAACTCAAGAATGCCAGCCGTGGAATTTTCAATTACATCCACGAGCAGGGGAAAACCCTTCCAGTTCCACTGTCAGCAGTGATGGCACCAGTTCGTGGAAAGAGCCGTCACAAACACATTGAACGGACACGGCCATGGCCAGTCCTTCTACTTAGTGATTGGGTTAGAACTGCTTTTCAAGAACCCTTCAAAGGCTTCTACTTGCTTGGTGGGAAAAAAAGTGATCAGCTAGATGAAGTCAAGGCTATGCTGTCACGCTTCTGGTCACGCTACAGGGTAGTAGATTCTGATGTGGCCCCGGAGCATCCCGAAATCACAATCCCGTTTTTTATTCACGGGGACGAAGGACGTGGTCAGTGCAAACGTGCAGTCCTAGTACTGGCTGCCCAGCCTGTGTTTGGATGGGGTGGGGAAAACAGTATTACATCTCACAAGCAACTTGCTTTCAATATGAATTATGGTTCAAGTTTTGATTTTTTCCCAACAATGATCACAATATAGGAATGGCCCCCTGAGATATATGCTTTGAACCTGTAAGCACATGACCTCGTAGACCAATTACAATCAATTTATATATTACGGGTGCCCTCCCTGCTTGTAGATATTTGGTTCGATTTGGGATATATCTTCTTGGTTTTGTGGGTAACCCGGTTGTCTCCCAGAAATGCGGTGGCTATCCCATCTTTTATTCAAGATGTCCTGCAACTGGGTGCCCTTGCCGCAATGTCCAGGCAAACCTTCACGACAAGAATGTTGATGACAGTCATACCTTCCGAGCATTACGCAGCCAATGGGGCAACGCTCCAAACAATTCTGCGGGCACTGGTGGCTGACTTCAACCACCTAATTCGACATGGTGTTGAGGCCAGTGGATCTTAAGGGGTATTTTTCTGCCCATAATAGGTCTCATTCCGATTTTCAAAAGTAAATCCTCGTAAACAACCCACAATTTATGGCTATGGGGTCATGTTGGGCTGCCTGTCAAAGGTGCCCTGTGGTGAGACATCCCAGAAGTTCTATCTTCAATTTTGTGGATGCAAGGGAGATTGGCCTTTCTTACGGTCAGCCTGGCGATTGAAAAGTTGCTTTTCATCAAAAAGAGTTTGCCATCTTTGCCCTGTGAAGGACCTTCAGAACAACATTGTGTTTTTGTTTTTTAGGGAAAAATCAGAATAAAGACTTGTTCCCAGAGTGGCATCAACTTGAAGGGGCATGTTTTCTCCAATTTACAAAGCCAAGGAATGGTGGGATGTGTCAGCAACTGGGCCAACACGCTTGTGGCCATCCAATGGTGCCAATCCAAGCCCTTTCCACCCTGGACCTAGATCCCCGCTTCGTGATATCTATTTAGTTGGTGACCGTGCTGAGATGATCAAAGTGGATTTGGCACATACCTATGCAATTGCTGGGTTTGGGAAAGACCATTTGGCGAGCACTTTGATTTTCGTGGCGGTCAGGTGCAAATATTTTGGTGGTACCAATTTCCCAACCCAGCTAAGCAAGGCTTATGATGCTTTCTCCGCTTGGTGTGCCCAAAACAAGAGGTATACAACAATCAGGAGTTTTGACAAGACCGAGTTGAAGATAGTATCGCTTCCTGGTTAAGATTTATATGAATTATGTTTATCATGTTAAAAAAAACAAAACAAATCCATGGTTTCACTGTTTCACTAATGTCCCAGCTGTTCCCCGCTTGCCTTTGCCAGCTCAGGCTGACGCAATTCCCAAAGGGCCTGGGCAAAGGGTCGGATGCTGCAGTGGTGGGCTCATGGCTGGAAACGGTTCTGGATGCAATGAACATTGACCTTGAAAATTCGGTCCCCGAATCTTGAATTTGTAGGGGACTTTTCTGATTCATGTGTTTTTAGATTGGGGATTTATGGTATAGAAATATAGGGGATGTATATGGGATTCTCTGAAGATATGGTGCCCCACAATCTTGTGGTTTATTTTATAGTATCCAAATTTGGGACAAAAACATATCTTTACATAGATTTACATAGATATAACATAACTTCCTTGCTTTCAACCCTGTCCCAGGAAGATCACCGAGATTTATTCCGGGTCGTCAAATGGGGTCACACCAGCGTTTGTAGATTCTTTCGGATTCTCTACAAAGGGAAGCTTTGGCTGTCACCACCAGAAGCTGCTGAAGCAGTTGAACAAGGGTTCAACTTTACAGCCCCTCAGGCTTTGATCTCAATTTTGTTTCCTCCTTTTTTTAGAAGGTACTGCGATCCTAAAATGTTACCCTTTGGGGATTCGCATCTTCAACCACCAAGACATGGCATACATAAACCTGCCAACAAAAAAATATGTTTTATGGCTTCTGTGACCCTTTGGGGTTTCTGTAGTTTGTAGCCTAGGAAGCCTATGGTGCTTGCAGCTGCATCAGTGCATTGAAAAACTGGGCTCTATGGTATCTACGTCCAAAAATTCACCTCTTTGAGCATGTGTTGCTGCGAGGTTGCATTTATTTACCATCTGAAAATAGAACCCTTTGTACGTAGAACCCTGGTTATATCCAAACCCCTGTGGCTGCTTTGAGGCTCCAAATGAGGTACCAGCTCGAGCAGAATGCGTCCTATATCTTAAACCCGCACAGTCAAAAGCTGAGATCGCGGGATGCCAACTGATTACAAACTTTAATGGTTCAGGTTGATATGCCACAATTTATTATGATCCAAACCTATCTGGACTTGGGCTTAGGCACAGATACATGGTCCGACGAGGACTTCATAGGACGAGTGAGTCGTGTAAACCGCCGAGTGAATACCATAGAATCACCAATTCAAACAATTAAGAAATGCCTTATCCATTACAAAATGGAATGGGAGAAAGCCTGTGCCACCTGAGCTCCGGGCTCGTCAAAGATGCTGCCCAGCTTGTGGCGTGCAAACAGGGCCAGCAGGGCGTGCTGATGACAGGCCAAGGAGGGAATTTTGGGGAATTCAATGGGCCCACAAAGGGTAACATATCAAGACGTACGTTATTCTACAAATCGAGCATTATTTGTGAATTCGAACACTTTCTACCACGTACACTTTTTTTTGATCACTTGAGGATCAAGGTATATATATACACGCCGTATCTATGAAGGTATATATATATATATATGATTGTATATGTATCACTGACTACACATTTCCGATCATTTCCACATGTATACTATAGATGTATCAAATATGATATCTATCTGGGTATTTTAAATTACATATTATATAATTATTTACAGCTGGAACGTAGTTTGGTTACTGGCCAGTTGATGTTTCCACTGGCAGAGATGATGCCCCGAGCAGAACAAAAAATGGAGGGTTTCTTATAGAATTGGGGACAACCACCAATTCACCCTTGGTTTCCCCAATTCAAAAGATACAATTCATATGGGTGATAACTTCGGATAGCCAAAAAGTCTAATTAGTCTAATTGTTTGCTGGTTAGTTAGTACAGCTTACCATTGATACTGGTTGGTGGTTTCAACCCCTCTGAAAATATTAGTCAGTTGGGATTATTATTCCCAATTTCTGGAAACAATAAAACATGTTCCAAACCACCAATCAGGATAGCAATAGATTCAAGTACTAGTTCGTATCTAACCAGTCAGTTGATGCAAAGGAAACCTCCATAAAACAGCCAGCCATTGGTCTCCGGGATCAAGGTGCAATTCCATAGAGATAATCCTTGGTGATCCAAGTTGCAGCATGGTACGTAGACAGATTGCCATAGTCCAACCCCCCATGACATGGATATACCATGATAATACCCCTAAATGAGATGAATCATTACCACGCATGACCCACATCTGCTGAAGTTTTCCCTGAAATCGTACAGTGTGAAGTAAGCGCGTAGTGGCAAGAAAGTGGACCTGCCAACTAAAATACCGCTACACTCAGGAAACTTGGCACTTGGCTATTTACGCCCAATTTCAACTTGAGGCGTTCATTCGATGACAGGGAAGAATTCACTACCACAAGAATCTATAAGCTACTTAGAAGTGAACATGTGTCTATAGTATCCCCAAAAATGAAAGTCAACATAATTTCAGAAGCATGTCTGTCCTTTTTCGGGCTATGCCAATACACTTTTCAGTTCCACCAATTTCATCAAATCAAGGCTCGACATGAAGAAGTCGGGGATAATGAAGAGGACATCAAGCACCACCTTGGAGATTGACCCACCGTGTTTCCAACACCAAAAAAGTAGTTGAAAAGTGGGACACCTGGAAACTATGGAGAATACATCATTGAACTATCATCCCGGAAATATGTTTCGAAAAAAAAAAAAAAAACATATCATGTTTATCTCTGTTTGTTTATTTTTTGGATTACTGCACTATATAATAAATATATCAGAAATGATCGTTATCTATATATCTATATCTACTACAATAATATACACATTACTCAAAAAGTGGGGTGATACCACCTTTGAGATTCCCCATGATGTGCCAAAAGTGAACTCATTCCGACGTGATGGGATGTATACCGCTATACCATACTGGGGTGAAACCAGCAACTAGTGCAAAAATGATGTAATCATGGTACATTATGGGCATATCATGGGGATACAAGGTGATATGAAACTGTGGTTGGGGATATAATGGTACAGCATGGGGATATACATGATATACTGTGCTTGGGGATATGAAACCAACAATGTGATATTAGGGTTTGTCCACAAATTGGTTGTAGCACTTAAAATTGCCCCCTTTACAGCAACGATCAATCGGCGCTGGGATGACAACAGTAACAGTATCTAAGTTGCAGTACACCTTTGCGTATTCCCATTGGTAGGCCCTGTAGGCCCCGAACCATTATCAAGAAACATTGTTAATTATATTGTATGCAATAGAATCAAAATGAATCAAATAGAATCCATATAATTTGAATTTAGATGTACAGTATCTATCAGAACAACACCACAAACTATAGTACCCTTGTCACAGTTTCTGATTTCCAAGCTTCTTCAAAACGCCTAACGTCTCGCCGAGTGGCTGCTTGTGCCAAATTAAAACGCAAGATCTGAGGGAGGTCACCATTGCGTGCTTGGGCTTGGAAAAGAATCCTCTACGGCTCGGATCTAGCGCTGCTGATTTCGCTGGAACCATGGGTTACCTTCCGGTAACATGGCTGGGAAATCCGCTAGAAAATGGAACCATTGTTAATCATCAATGGGGAATTTTATGATTTTTTTCATTTTTTTTCCATTGCTACGCTTCATGTCCGGGTTCAAGTTGATCTGGGCGGCTCAGGATGTCGGAAAAACGGGGGATTCGTTTGTTTGTGAAACCTTGGTCATTTCAACTTCAGACTTACTGGGAATGAAGCCAAACAAACAAATAGAAAAAACGATACAAAACCTGATCCAAAGCACTGTCAGTCTGTCAATGTCGATTCAGATTTCTCGGGGTGATGTCCCTTATCTAGTCATGGATCATCATGGATCATCTTGAAACCACGAATCTGCGTACTTCAACGAATCTGCCGGTTACAACCATTATCATGAAATCGACACGGTCCGCTCTTTCAAATGGATCAACAACATTAAACGCCACAAGGAAGAACAATGTCGGATTATTCACACCTTGGACACACACAGAGGAAAACAAAACACCTGACATCATCCGATTCAAATTTACAGTGCTGCACATGACCCAACAAAGCATGACATCAAACAAACACATCTGGGTTTCTCTAAAATCTGGGTTCCGTCAATCCAGTGACTGATCTTCATTTTTTCTCATTCAAATGGCTATTTTTTAACTCAAGGACATCCCGTTGGAGGAGTTCATCCAAGTTGGCTGAGTTCGGAAGCCAGTGGTAGAT